GCGAATTACTCTTCTTTGAAACTTGGCTCGAGTCATCAGTATCGCTACATCGAGGAGGAGTCAGTTGTCGTGGTTTACTGCTGCGTTTCTTTGGTGTCGTGCTCCTGCTTTGTCTCTTCTTCTTGACGCGTTTCAGTTCCACGAGATCCATCACTGATCTCGAATGGAGGGCGGATCCTTGCTTTTCAGTCTTCTTGACTCCCATCCGTTTTAATCCTACGAGATCTATCGCTGATCTCGAATGGATGGGTTCCTGTAGGAGAGTCTGTTGAGTCTCATTTGTAAAGGAATGGTTTTGCATGGTTGTGTATTGCGTGTTTGTGTTTGTATGTCCCTACTGGTATGATATGTCTGTGGGAGTTGTTGTGTGCCGCATGTTGATCTGTTTTGTATCATACATATGATTTCGGAGAATGTCGAACATTATATTCCCCACTTATTTGAAGAAAAGTCGAACGACTCTAGTTCTCAGTTTTTGTTAACATCAATTTGATTTTTCATCCGTTTTAGTCATGGAGAACCCCCAGGGGGTTATGTTTTCACGAAGCGATCAGTTCAGAAGAGTAGTTCTATTACGCCGATTAGTTCGATGGATGTTGAATATTGAGAATATATGGGTAGCGCTATTGACTGCGTGATTGTGGATCGTATGCTTATTCTCTGCTTCATTACCTGTACTGCCGGTACATTCCTCACGTTTCATCATTGGTACAGCAGGTACGATACCTGTTGAATCAAGATCGTCACTCCAACTAACTGACATGAGTAATCATACAAACGCAGTCTTACCAAACGTAATTGTGCCAGAGGTCAGGTACATCTATTACCTCTGTCTACGAGTCGATAGGATGACCTGACGAATGTATTCTTATCAAGGCTGCAGTGGAAATGGTGTGTATCTAGTACACGACACCTTCTATTCTGATGTCAGTATGGCTACCGCCTTCTGCCCAGGGAAATACTGTAGTTCTCTATAAAACTCATAATATCTCTTTAGCAATCTTTCTACCGCTACTGTGCCTAAAGAGGTAGATTGTTGGCAAAACGTTTGATTCTTACTCTGCTACAGTTCCAATCTTGTCTTCTTCATCGTTTGATGGCTTGGTTTTGGCTTCACCTCGTTGGATTACTGCAGGTGTTGGCTAGCGAAGGACGGACTGATTCGAATGCCAAAGTATGTATGCGAAGAAGGTACAGTAGCATGACAGTGGAAAGCTTTGTACCAAAGAGGTTGTGAAATATGTTGGTAAAACAGGCGCAACTGAGTTGCAGCTCATTCATTTTGAAAGACTGACAGAGTGAAATTGAAATCTAGGAACATATAGTTATTGAGATTAGGAAAGCACACAGCTCTTCTACCTCTAACACCCATCATCATGACTATTACAGACTTCCCCGTGCGCAAAAAGAGCTACAGCTACCTCACACCCAGGCAAGCTATCCAAATCATGACTCCAAGGCGGTCCTTGATGCCTTCGATCCTGCCAAAGACCTTCAGTTGCAAGATCTGAACAGCCTTGTCGAAAAGGGCGTTCAAGGAGGTGCCCCGGCCTGGTACACGGGAAGGCACAAGGAACAGGAGAGCAACTTTCATCTCTGGCACCGGCCGATGATTAGATACACGACGGTTGGCGAAAAAAAGGAACCCCATTTCGACCCACTGGGGTTCTGTTGGCCGGCAAAAGCCTTCTAAAAAACCGACCCGGCCAAAGTGGCCCACAAGGCTCTCCTATCTGAAGAGAGTTGCCGGTACTACAACCTCAGCTCAGCTCCCCACCCTCTGGCACGAGCTAGGAATTCAGCCGGAGTACTTAAGAGCTTGGTGGAATTGGAATTTTGTTTGCGCGGCGACGTCAAAAAGGGTTTGAACGTGTTTAATAGTGTCTGTTTCCAGCACTACAAAAATGCAAACGCTATCAACGATTACAACAAGAGCGATTATTGGTTGACGGGCGAAAATACCACCGCTTTCATGAAGGATCATCAAGCCCATGACAAGATCAAGCACGCTATATTCTTGAAGAATCCCATGCAGTTCCGTGAGATGGTCACAGGTATGCGGGTATTCTACCGTGTAGTGTTCAGAGTGACTCATCCACTGACAGGAGTGTCCCAGCAAGATCGAGCTCTTGAAATATTCCTTTTTGGAATCTATTCCCCCATCGATTGTTACTTTGAGCGCTTGGTGAGATCCAGTGCGGGCGCCGAAGAAAACCTACCCAACTTGGGCACCTAAATGGAGACATGCTACCAAGGAGGAAGCCTACCAGAGTCCAACTTGTTTGTTGTAGCAACGGACTCTGGAGGAACCGGTGGAACAGGAGAAAAGACCAACAGTCAGCTGAAGAGAGAGAAGGAAAAGGCCCAGAAGAAGAGCCTATGGGAGAATCAGTCAAAATCCTGACATGAACGAAGAACATGGCTATACCGGAAGAACTACTACCAAGTTGATCAAACGGACAGGCGAACAGCCTCCCAAACATGCCAAAGGAAAGGAACTGTGCCTCATTTGGCACACCAAGGGCGAATGCAATGAGAACTATGAATGTAAGCATTCCCATTGTAAGCTGACTGATGAGGAAGCAACTGCGATGAAGGATTGTGTAAATAAGAATAAGTGAGATGGAGGCCAGGAATCATCGGATTCTTGCAGGCCATCTCAATCAGACCCACTTTTGCTACAATCTACTTTAATTGGAGGTAGTGCTAATACTATAGGTGAGCTGGTTGCGTTGGCTAATGAAACTTATTTAAAACACGATTGGCAAGTCACTCATTTATTCCGTTCAGATGATGCTGCACCAGACATTGATAAGCTTCTGCACCCTGCCACACCTATGCTATACCGAGTAATGAAGAATGGGGCTCCTATGGTGGTTCATTCGGAGCCATGGAGCCAGAGCCAACTCGACATGCGAGCAGCTTGGGGCTGTCACTCATCAGCAAACGAATTCAAAGAGTTTCTGATGGAGGAGTTTTTGGACTTCTTGTCAAGGGCGAGAAGGGACTTTGCCCTTCTACAATTGGCTGTGTTCCACAAGATAACAGAAGACCTCAGATTGTCAGAAATATGAGAATGCAACTAGCTTTGAGTGCCGCAACGCCCCTAGTTCTTGCTTCTCTCCTGAAATAGGATCTTCGGCGGCTAGGTAGTTAGCTCCTGTGTCAATAACGTCTATCGAACACTTCTTTCAATATGAAACAGTCTTTCTTATTTTATCGTATCCAGTTTGGATTTTGTTTGGATTGTGAGCCCAATTGTATTGCCTCCAGATCTGTGAAAGAACACAGATCCCATTTGCTCTTTCCCTAGACCTCCGTATCGATTCAACACAGAGTGTTGAAAGGGATAAAAAGGACCTGCTTTCAGTTCCATAATATCAAAAATAAAGCTTTCCAAACTTTCCAGACCCGTACTTCCGAACCGTCCAATCGTACAGTCCTATTAGTCATACGGGAACCTGTATTCCACAATCGATCACGGATCAGATCCAGGGAATATATTAGTCCAAATAGATCTCCATTTCTCCAATAATGAAAATTCGAGTACCGCCAACACAGATGATTGTTGATTATGCCTTCTGAGGACTCAACCACAACACAATGAAACTCCCCCCAGAGGGAGCTAGGCAATTCCGCACGGCCCCACTACACATCTGCGAGGCACTCATGAAGGCACAGTTGGTCAGGTTGGACAGACAGTCCTCCATGGTCCTGTGCCTTGACACATGTTGACTTGCAACAAAACAAGCAAGTGACACCACATCCCTTGGGTGAAGCAGCGGCCATCACTGATTTTGAAGTGAAGGACGAGCAAGCTGTGAGACAAATTCCAAAATCACACCAGCCATTGACTTACCAGCGCCCATTGAAAAAGATGGAAGTGTTCGTCGATGATTTTGTTGGAATGGGTCAAACAATCCAAGCAACCCATTGAAAAATCAGCGAACCGTCCTCAGTCACAACATTGGCAAGGTCTTCCATCCTAATGGATCCACGGACAACCAATGGCGAAAGGAGCCTCAGTCACAGTCAAAAAAGGCCAAGGGGGATGCCTCCTGGCACACAGTCAAAGAAGCCTTGGGTTGGAACTGGGGAGCAACAACAAAGACACTGCAATTGAAGGAGAAAAGAGTGAGCAAGGCCCAAACACTCCTTGGCAAGGTCTTGGATTGCAAAATAGTGTCCCTGAAACAATGGCAACACATGTTAGGAGTTTTACGAAGTCTGCAACGAGGAATGTTGGGCAGTGAGGGACATTTTTCCTTGTTGCAAGATGCTTGTGATGCAGCAAAATCAGGAAGAGGAAGAGCGTAGTTTACAGATGATGAAGAGGCCTTCATTTGACGCAAACCATATACAGAGGACGTGAGAAAGGAGGTTATTTCAGATCAAAATCCGACAGGAAAACTTACCAACTCAGATCTGGAACTGGAAGGCACCGTCCTCCATCACTTTGTCCTTGAAAAAACCGCACAGGTGGAAGGCGAGACCACCGATACTGGCTGCAACAACACTCCAGCAGTCTCGTGGCGTACAGGATTGCAACGGGAACAAAGAGCACATCAGCGGATCCAGCAGCACAATGAGTTTGCCCATTGCCAAAAGCCTTACAACGGCAAGCGTCCAAGCTTGCCACAAGACCTACCAGCACCAATACCGCAAAGGCAATGAATCGATTGATGTGGCTGGGTTTTTCTTTCTGTTATATCCTGGCAAATATTTGTCAAAAGCAGGAACGCAATTTCCCTTCAAGTTGAAACAAGTGCTGTTTTGTGTCAGAGGCACAGAATTTTGTGGCAACATGATTCCACGTTGCCTCCTGGACACGACACTTGTGACATTTGCCGCTTTGATTTTTGACAAACAAAAAAATGCAGTGCGAGACAAAAAGATCGGTTTGGGCACGTCATTTAATGGTGACAACCCAACAGCAATGCTGATTGCAATTGTCCGACACCTTCAACAGAGTCAACTCACAACTGGTGAAACCGCACTGTTCAACTATTACTCCAAGTTTGGAGTCGCTTGCAATCTCACAGACCCAATGATCACAAAATATTTGAGAGCTGTTGCTCTATCTGTGGAGGTTGATCGACCCCCAACAATTGTTAACGGCAATCTAGAAACTTGAGATAGTTTTAATACGATTAATGCATCAGTTATATATATATATATGGTGCTCTTCTATGCACGGGGGCTACCGCACTTCTCGAAGGCAATATCCCAACTAGTCTCATCAAACTGCTTGGTCGATGGCGCTCAGATGAAGTTTCCGGTATCTTCACACCCAGTCCGAGCCTTTGATGCAACGCTTGAACAATGTCCTGGACGATCAAGTCGAACACTAGCGTTTTCCCACACACCACACCCTAACCAGTGCTTGCGCTGGGGGATTGGGGGCCAATATCTAGTAACAACTGTCAGCCCAAAAACGTCATTGAAACTCTTTTAGGCCCAATTAGAGTCTGCAAAATCCAAAGCGATTGAGAAGGATGAGCAATCACAAGAAAAACGCATCATAATTGCCAACTACCTTTGGCAGCTTTCATCATCAATCTATTCTTTGTCTCCTGTTCTCAGTTTCATTTGTTGTTAGCTATGAGGAAGCTTGTGAAAATAAGTAGCTACTGTATAGTGTTGAGCGATGCTGTTAACAATTTTGTAGTGTCATCCATCATCTTGTATATCCGGGTTACTTTGGGGCATCTGATCATGGGCCTAGCGACTGATTCGGTCGCTCCACCAAATAGTTTCACGTGCAAGGTCATAGCACCATTTTTTTGCCAAAATCAAACGGGCCTTGTGTTGGAACCACACTGTTGGTTGCCCGTCGTTTGGTGGGTTTTGTCGGTAGGCAGAGATGACCACCAAGTCGTGCTGGCCAACGCCTCGTGTTTGGCCCTGAAGTCGGATCCAAGTCCATCCTGACCCAGTGACAGACTTTGTTGAAGGCAGATGTCAAACAGCCCCCAAATTGGGTGGTAGAATGGGCTGCCCGTGGTTGATGGGTGCCAAGGTGCTGGCTCTTTCTTGCCATCGTTTGGTTGGTGTGACTGCTGGCCAAAATTTGTTCAATTTGGCCAGTAGTAAAAAGTCCACACATTCGCTTCGAATCCAGTGGTTCAGTTGTGCTTGTTTAGGGTCGTTGGACTCTCATCAGGAATTGGATTAATATTCTGGAAGGAAAGTTGAGCCAAACCCTGTGCACGAGCAAGAACCATCTCCTGGAAGGAAGGAACTTAAAAGGGAATAAAGAGGTGTGTGTGGAGCCGCCCCTGACCGGTTGTTGGCAATCTTTTGTTTATCATGGACAAGTCATGGGGGTATTATTGGTGTCCATAGGAGAGGACGCATTGGGTTGGTCCTCCCCATCTTCTCCGTCTGGTTTGTGAGCGGTCACTGGTGGTCCAAGGGACTGAGTAGTTTAGTAGTGCTGACAAGTGTCTGGCCCGGTGGGCCCATAGGGACATCCACTGTGAGCATGGGAACAGGCCTAAAAAATTTAGACAACTCTACCATAGCAGCAGCTGCCTCTTGGTTGGCCTTCGTTGCGTCCAATCCCTGTTCAAACTGTTCTTCTTGTCAGTGATGGTCTTGATGCTCTGAAGAGCGGTCTGGAGTTGAGCCTAGCCCTTGTTCCTGTCATCAAGGTACACAATCACGGAAAGGCCATTGTCCACGTCTCGAACATGTTTGGCGTTGATGTCAAGGGGAAGAGTGCCCTCAAGAATTCCACAGGGTCTTCCATGCAGAGAAGAAGGAAGTCAATGGGATCACGGACTTGATGGCCTTGGTGGTCTGTAGGATCTTCAATACCAACGGAACCCATTCAACATGAATCTTGCAATTCTGGTAGGCAAGGTCGGTAGCTGACCAGTTCTTGATGACTAGGATGAAGTTGGGGAATGACAACTCGCCAAGGTGAAACTGGAGAAAGGATTGTCTGTCAATTGTGCCTTTAAATGAAATTTTTTTGATTAAACATTTAAAAAATGTCCCTGTTGGTTCTCATCTATTTATGAACGACAAGATGTTCTCGTATATATGAGAAATGTCTTCTCCGTTTATAAGGAACCACAAGGAATTCTAAAGTCATCGATCTGCCGGATTGCAAGCGGATCTGCAAAAGACTCGGATTTAAAGATACCACAATGCGTGAGGTCGTAAATGCAACGCGCTTTTGATCTGCGACCTGTGAGCGTTGGCTCCCAGTTTGTTCATGATGCAATGTAAATCAAGTGCCAGAAGATACTTATTGAAACTTGTGAACACTTTATCAACTAGAAATCATGAACTGAGCAGTCGGCAGTGGTGCAGCTTTCCAAGAGCATCTCTTCGCAGAATGTTAAATAAAAGGGAAAATAGAAATCATGAACGTGAACGTCAAAGAACACACTAAACTTCTACATTATATGCGAAACCTCTGGCAGATTTTGATGGAGAAAATTGATCAAATCTCGAAGATGTCAAACTTTACCACTAAAAGTCCACTCTTTACTACTACAAGCGACGATTCAATGTTTTTGAGTGATTCAAGCTTCTTGACTATCTCGTCGTTTGACAGCCCCTTTGAAGATCCAGGGATGGAACCGCTTCCTATTGCACCGCATGCGCTTCCTCGTCGGCTTTCTAGAGTCTCATCTTCTCAAACTCTTCCTTCTAGACGCACCTCCTCACAACCTCCTTCTAACAGCCTATTGAGTCTACTAGGATATTCGCTGCATCGAGGTATCGAAAGTGAAGGTGCCTCACTCCTCACAGCAACAGAATCAGAATCTGACAGAATGATGGCGGCTAAAACAAGAAAGCACACTAACTTGAACAAGAGGGGATTTGCCTCAACAAGAGACACAGAGAAAAAGAGACCCAAGAAGCGAATGAAAGCGAGCGAAGGAGCTGAATTGAATCTGAGACCGTACCAAGAGACTCAGTGGCACGAGCAGTACCATGCATTGTGTGACTTTTGCCAACAAGATGGCCACTGCAACGTCTCTGACGTGTGTAGCGATGACATCGTCTTGGTACGATGGGCCAAACGCCAACGTTATCAATACAAACTGTTGCAACAAGGTATGTCCTCGACCATGACGACCGGCCGCATACGGAAGCTAGAGGCGATTGGTTTTGTGTGGGATATCCATGCAGCGCTGTGGGAGGAGCGTCTTGCAGAGCTAACGGAATTTCGAAAGCAGTGGGGCCATTGCATTGTGCCATCGATCTACAAAGGAAGTCCAGTATTGGCGACATGGGTCAAGTGCCAAAGACGCCAATATAAAAACAAACTTCTCGGAAGGAAATCCAATATTACTAATGAGCGAATAGCCGCACTGGAAAGGTTGGGTTTTGCCTGGGGAGTCCGTGGTGGTGCATGGTGATAGTACCTGGTTAGCCTAGCAATACTGCATATTTTTAGTACATGTTTGATACGCCATACATTTCAAACTTGCTTTTGTACCAGTCAGGAAACGTACCATGAAGTAGCAGTGCGGTGGTGGTGGTGGTGTAATGTGTCTAGAAGAGTGTTGGAAGTCGTACAACCGTCATACATCAACCGTGAGAGTATGGAGAACAAGTCATGGGCGAAAGATGAACAATTGAATTACAGTAGTTGTGTAGGGAGTTTTTGGGATGACGGAAAGCGTGAGATTTGCTTTGGTCATTCGAAAACTCTTATCCAAACTTAAGCAAGTTTTTAAGGTTCATAGTATTAGGACTACATTACGCCAAACAACTGAAGACTAAGTGTCTCAGAGTATAGTAGGGTCTTTTATTATCTAACATAAGAGTTTTCGAAAATATATATACATTTTCTCATATCTGAACAACAGTCACTACATTTCAACGGTACATGACCAAGAAGAGCAAGGACGAGCTTGTTCAAGACTTGAAAGAAATAGAGTCAAAGGCCCAGAAGTTGATAATAGTCCTTGGAAAGGAGAGGAGCGACGAAAGCGAAACGAAAGAACGGGAACCAAAGAAGACATTTCCCAAAGCAGTGATAAAATATTGATAAAGAAGCCTAAGAAAGTGCAGGAATAACGATTGGAATAATCGAATTGTTTGGAAAGAAGTTTGTCACGGTTAAAACGGCAACACAAACAATCAAGAGAATCCCACAGGACTTGAAAAAAGGTGGGAAGTTAAAGAAGAAGAAGAAAGATATGGGATACAGATTGACTACGGTCAAGGGGCTCAAACACTTGAAGGCGCCCAAGGAAGATGGAACAGAGCAAGACCTCGAGGACTTCTTCACGGGCCTGACTGACAAAGCAATCATCATGTGGGCGGACGGAGATGATGTGGGCTACATTCTGGAAGAAAACACAAAGCCTGAGATAAAGGAGCTTGATCCACTAACGGCTGCAGAAGATGCCGACGCCAGAAAGGTCAAAAAGTATGATCGGTTGATGGATAAGTACGAAGATCGGAAGGACGCCTTTTGGACTAACACAATCGCTACGTTTCAGCTAATCATGAGAAATTATCTGGAGAAGCCGAACGGAACCCCACAGGACGGATTTCCTAAAGACGTTCCTGGAGTTTTAAAACTTCTAGAAATTGGAAGCCCAACAATGTGGCCCGACGCGGTCACGGCAATATATAACAGTGATGGCGCAAGACAGACCTCAGCAAGAACAGGAGCGAATAGGAACCCTTTGGTTTCTTTTGCACAGACAGCTGGTGAAACGGATCAAGTTTGTTGCTTTCAACTCGTTCTACGCTACCATCACCTGTTGCCTGTGCAAGCACAAGGGGCACTATCAGAGCCATTGCCCGCAGCCAAGGACGGTAATGGGAGCAAAGTTGGAAGCTACTGTCAGTGAGGTAAGCACTACAGATGTGGTATTCTTATGAATCAGCATCCAGATTTTTACATTAGTCCGAGCTGGATTCTCCTTGATAGTGAGTCCACTGATCATATTTTCAGTAGCCTGAGCTATTTGACTGGAGAAAAGGCAACTACTGATGGAGAAATATTGAGACTACACACTTCCGGTGGAACTCTCAATACTGATCATTTTGGGGGATTTACCGTGTGGAACAACCTGAGATGCTTGGCTAATTTTCTGTCTCTGGCTCTAGTTGCCAAACCATTTTGTGTGACTCTGGACACTGAGACTGAAAATTCTTTTAGCATACACATTTCCAACTGCATTGCTCCTGGTCTGTACATCTATGATGTTACTTCAGTAGATATGTCTAAGCTTAACGTAGCTTTCAACTTTTTGCAAACTGTAGCAGACAACAAAGCATCTTTTGCAAATAGGGATATTTGTAAGGCCGATGAGGCAGTATTGCTCGATCGGAGGACCAATCACATGGCAGAAGACAAATTTGTACACGTTGTCCCAATAAGAACAATTGGATTCGAAATTGTCCCGTCACCGTAGGAGGTGTGCAGAGGTCCCACATAATCTATGGACAAACAATACCACCAGTTAAGGGCCGGACTTAACACCATAGTCATCAGCAAGAGTCAGGGAACCCGATATTGTCCAGATCCAAAAGAGCATGTATGAAGATCTCAAAAACGTGACGCTTTGCGTTGATTTTTACTATGAAAAAGGTGTCACTGTTTTTCATTCCATCGCTCAATGGACGAGTGACAACGGCAAAGCCTGTCACTGACAATGTGGTCAAGAGAGTCAAAGAACTGGGTCTTGAACAAAAGCAGCCGTATCGCGAATCAAAGATGCTGAAATACAAATGGAGACCGGGTCAACCAATCTCCGCGGACGACATTGTTCTGCCTGCTAGAACCGCGCAGGATCCTCTATCCTTGCCTGAACCAATTGTCGTCAATCTGCCAAATGCAGGCCTCAATCCTTTTTGTACCCATTGGTGTGGATGATCTGTGAGGAGCGGATGAAATTGAGACAGAACTACCAGAAAATCAAGAAGAACAAGGAGCGGAAACTCAAGGAGCGCAAATTGAAATCAAAGATGTCGATTTTTGCAGAAGTGGATGTGTCTAACGATGAAACGGAAGATGAAGCTGATGCCAACGATTTGGGAGGTGCCAAAAAATACTTGACAACAGCCAACGAGACAGAGGACAGGGACCAGACAGTACTAGTGGCAGCTAGTGATCCGGAGGAAAAAGAATGACGAGGAGGCCATCTCAACACCAACAAAGGAGAAGACTTTGGAAGAGGAAAGAGAAAAGGAAACCTGCTGAAAAGTATTCGGCATTGCAAACAACAGAGGTCAAAAAGTCACTGGTAAGACCAAGGGAAAACCTGTTGGAGCAATATACCACCAGACTTGCGTTTGCCCAAATGTCTGCCAAGCAGGGCATCAAGAAGTACTACAAAGAAGCGGAACTGAAGCTAATTGCCGAGTTCGCTCAGGTACTGGAATTCCAAGTTTTCCACCAAGTTAAAGCAGACGGACCCGATGGCAATTCCTTGGAAGAAAAGAGAGGATCCGGTGAGGAGCGTTTTCAACGGTAGAGTACCGCAGGGAATCTGCACCAAGGATGAGACAGCTTCTCCTACTGTGGATCAGTACTCACTTTTTGTCACATGCATCGTCGACACAATCGAGGGAAGGTTTAAGGCCACCAGCAACATGAGAGGAGCATATTTTGGGACCCAAACTTGATATTTTCTGTGGACTTAATCCCAGTCTCAAGAAATTGTCAGAAAGTGCTGTATGTACAACTGGACAGAGCATTATATGGGTGTGTAAAAAGCTCATTTTTTTTTAATCAACTTTACTAGGAAACTCTCATGGATATGGGTTTCAAGCTTAATCCATATGATCTGTGCGTCGCCAACTGTGACATTGATGGAAAACAAGAATGCATGATTTGCCGGTACCTAGACAATGATAAGATCAGTCATGTGAAATTGGAAGTCGTACAGGATATCATTGGGACGATCAAAGTCAAGTCCAGAAAGATGACGAGCAAGTATGGTGAAGAGCATGCGTTTTTGGGAATGAAGATTACACTCAAAGACGGCAAAGTTGAGATCAGCATGAAGAAACATATTAAGAAAGCGATCAATATGTTCATGGACGACATCAATAGAGAGGCAACTTTGCCTGCCAAAGCTTGTCTTTTGGACATGAGAGAAGCGGCAAAAGATTTGAACGAAGAAAGAGCTGACAATTTCCACAGTGTGACACTGTCACGGTTGTACCCCTCTCAAGAAGATTCTGTCTAGACATTGTGCCCTATAGTTGGCTGTCCAGACAAAGATGATTGGGTCAAACTCAAGAGAGTCTTGCAGTATTTGAAAGGTTCGATAGACTTGACAAGAATCATTGGTGGAGACAACATCAGAAGAATGCATGCATGGTTGGATGTTTCGTATGGAATCCATGACGACTGCAAAAGTCACACTGGAGGATACATCTCCTTTGGCTGGGGCGTAATTTGTAAGAAGCAGGGGCTTAATGTGAAGAGCTCAACTAAAGGAGAAGTAGTGGGCATGAGCAATTTCTTGCCGAACATGATTTGGGTGAGAATGTTTTTGGAACGACAAGGTTTTGAGCTAGAAAAGAACATGCTGTACCAGGACAATCAGAGCGCTAAGAAGATCCTTTTGAACGGTAAGAAGTCCGCCGGAAAAAAGTCCAAACACATCGACAATCGTTTTTATTTTATTAGGGATCGATTGTTGTCCAAGGGAATCGCGATGTGGTGTACCGGTACTGTCCGACCACAAAAATACTGGCGGATTTTTTCATCAAGCCTTAATTTGCAAGGTAGTTTGTTTCGAATGTTTCGCGATGTGGTTTTGGGATACAAGCACATGGAGAACCAGTCATGGGTAGATGTTGTTCGAAAGATGAACAATTGAATTACAGTATAGTTAAAACTGTGTAGGGAGTTTTGGGGATGACCGAAAGCGTGAGATCTGCTTTGGTCATTCAAAAACTCTTGTCCAAAATAAAGCAAGTTTTTTGACGACTTTTTAAAAGTTCATAGTATTAGGACTACGTTATGCCGAACAACTAAAGACTAAGTGTCTCAGAGTATAGTAGGGTCTTTTATTATCTAAGAAAATTCATCCAGAACTTGATCCATGGCTTTGAAAGTATCATCAGTATACCTTGAATGACTTCAAACATGAAAGCAGCGCAAATCGAGTGAATAATTCGCCGCTTGCTGTGGCTGTCATCTCACGTGGTTGCTGGATGATGATGGTCCTCGTCGATGGTTTCGAAAGTACTTGGATACTCGTTCTCTTGCACTTTCCTTGGGTACTTCCAACCATCTACCTTCTTCCGATGCCGGCTGTAGGAACCGACCACCCTGATCGGTAATGATTTGCATTACCGTCTCCACAAGTCTAATTTTCACACCACGATTCAACGCCTCGTATTCTTCAAAATGATCCTTGATGAGTCGGTGGAGTAGCTCGCTGCCTGGGTTTCGTTGTATAACTCTACCAAAAATAACATCGTTGGGACGAGGCTCGCCTTGTATCAAAACACAGTTGTTTGTAGGGTTGGTACCGACCCCTTTTTGTCGGGAAAAATGACTTTGGCGTCGACGATTGCGAAAGGCTTGCATCACTTTCCGCCGAACGTCATCATAGGGTACTTCCTTCCAAGGTACTTTTGATTGCGTACCTTGTTTCTGTAGAAATCGTCCTCCGATTCGATGAGTTTCATCAATTATTGTGCTGACGATTTGTCTCTTTTGTTCATCATTCCCAGAGGAATCATACTCTTGAGAATGTTCGTGAACGAGCACATAGAAACGTTTGTTTCCTTCATGATTCTTATTTTTGCCACCGGTAAAGATTACATCCTTTTGGTGTGGCGTAATTATGCTGGATTCCAGGGCTTCTGGTGCCGAAACGGAACGTCCAAATTTATCTTCCATGGCGCAACAATGAACCCAGTGCAAGTGTTGGTCCAACAGAAGACTTCCATTGGCATCTAATGGCAGAGTCTGTGGCATGATTCCATAGGTCGATAGCTGATATTGGCACTCGGTCTGAGAGCCAAAGTGTATTCGCAATCGTGCTCTCAATTTGCTTTGCATAACCTAAAATGACGAATGAATGCAATGATGAAAATGATTGAGTAATCATCCCGATAGAAATTGTCGACAATTCGAAATCATAACGTACCTTGACCACGACATTGGTCAGTACAAACTGTCGCATCTCGTCCACACAAAAATGAATGGCTGCCTTTTTCTGTGGAAGTGCTTGTGCCGCCGTGAAATTCTCAAAGTACCCCTTTCCATTGGTTTTGGAACGGAAGTCACCATTAGTGTACCACACGGAAATGTTTCCTCGAATCTGTGTCTCTTCAGACTGCTGCATGGCTCTCATCATGACAAAATATAATACACGTGTCACGCACTTCGGGCGTTTGGACGATTCGATCATACTTCCAAAGAACACAAAGATTTGCCTCCCTGATCTATCTCTTCCAGCGACTTGTACCCACCCAGCCTTAAGGCATTCAATGTCATGCTCATCGAGATCATCCATGGTGATGTCTTTTACCAATTTCTCAATTCCAAACAGCTGATGCTTCAATTCAAAGAATCGTATCATTTGTTCGGCCGAAGCCTTGGCATCGTATTCCTTGGCCCTCAGAAACATGATTCGAAACGCCCTGGAACTGACATACTGGGGCGACATGCTTTCGGCCATTTCGTAGATGTTGCCACGTTTGATACCAGCCAAATGTCCATCAAGTTGCACAAGGCAAGTGTCCAACAAGCTGGCATCTTCCACAATTTCATTCGCCACACCATGAATCACTTCCTGAGTCTCTTCCCGTTCTTTAAAGGTGAGTCCACTCATGGCTTGTGACAGTAAATCATCAATTTCTTTTTTCTTTTGCTGATCTTCTTTTTCGAGTAATAAAGCTTCATCATCGTGTGGTAGGACGAGTCGTTTCGGATGCGTTGGTGAGGCTGTGACGGTGATTCTTGAGGCATTGTCATCACTAGGATGGTAAATTCCAAAACAGTTGGATGATTGCTGACCGAATGACTGATCAAAGATGCTCATCTTTGCAAGTATATATGATTGCCACTACAGTATATTGTCGGATGCGTTATTCTTTTATTGTGTTGCTTTTCGTAACCGCTACAATGCTCAAGAGCCTGGGCAATAAAGAGAGCTTTATATACATGTACTTGTGCCAAGGATGCGGTCCCTCTCTCTTGCGTGTAATTGCTTCTTTTTATTTTGCAGTGTAAAATAAATCCGGGACTTATAGGGTCCCGTAACAATTTTAACAGAATTGTTCTGCGTGGAATAGGTCAAGTTTGGGGTAAAGTAACGGGAACTGCGCTCTGGCGCAAAATTGTCATTCACCCGAAAGGAGCGCAACAGAATTTGAATTTGTCGCGACTCAAATCAGAATTTTGATTTGTCGCGACTCAGATCCAATGAGATCGAATGAATCAATCATCATATCAATCGAACCAGAGTATATGACGTGCACGCGTACACGTACCAGGGTGATGCATGTGTTTTAACTATCAGACTATACGGATCCTTTGGTTGATACCTACCACTATACGTACTATTCCACACACAATAGCAGCAGGAGCAGCAGGAACAGCAGCAGGAACAGCAGCAGGAACAGCAGCAGCAGCAGCAGCAGCAGCAGCAGCAGCAGCAGCAGCAAACAATGAAATGTTGCCAGCGGTTTTGCTTCGAATTCCAACGCCCCATGTTTGAGTTGGACGAGCAACATCCGCGGGGTGTCTTGACTCTTGATCTGCGGGCAAGCTTTCACATGGGACAAGGGCTCAACTCGGGGGTGGGGATGCTCAAGTTGCTATCATTGGCACTCGTGGTGGCGGCCTTAGTGTATGCGTTCCTTCAGTTTCCAGTCACGGCGTGGTTTCCTG